AAGGCTATGTTAACCAGTTTGATGAAAATATTTCAAATTGTATATGAAAACACCACACTGTACCCCATGATTGCATTAATGTACACAGGTATCATTTAATTAAAAAAAAAGTGTGTTTACTTTTTTTTATTATTTAATACATATGTTGTTGTCATGTGTTTGGAGCAGAAAAGTTTTTCAAAGCATTATTCCATTTGTCAATTTGATCTAGAAATGAGCATATTACAAATAAATATGGCAGATAGAAATCCAGCACCATCTCACTGATAAAATTCCCAACATACCTCCATCAAACTTCTTATCAGCTTGACATGATAGTCTCTAATTCAACTCAATGCTATCCCACCATTGCCCTAATGAAGTCCAGCTGTGTCACACTTCCATTATAGCACGAACTGGTCCTGTTAGTAATGTCAGTGGGATGTCACATCATGGTTCTCTGACTGCAGTGAACGTGAAGAGGATTTGAGGCTGTTTCGAGTTCCACAGCAAGAGTTTCTAGAGCTCTTCGAGAAGGAGCTATCTGAGATAAGAAAAAATGAGGCAAGAAGACAAAACTGTTAGCCCAACAAAGAAAAGACCAAGCCAATTCCATGTCTTCAGTGGACTTCAGACCAATCTAGATTGATGCTCCCACTTTTTTTTATAACCATCATTTTTTAAGTTTTGGATTGACATAAGGATTAACCTAATAATTAGGTTACATTGTTTGCATTTGTAAGGTAAAGTCCGAGCAGTAGTTGAGCCCTTCACCTAGGAGATGTGCCCTACAAGCCTACATTGTACCTAATAGGTGGAAGCTAAGCTCCCACCCCCCCTTCTTCTTGAATTTAATTATGTTTTGCTCTTCTGTGGGACCTATATACTCAATACTAATTTGAAACTAGTAGATGCTCCCTCTTTTTGAAATGTGTTCATACACATTAGTCCACCTTCACTCTGGCTCACCAAACACTTGGCCACAAAGCCAAACCATTGTCTCTGCCTTTCTCTTGACAAGGGAGTATGACAGCAAATCTTGAAGTTTTCAGATTGTAATTACTTTACTCATTGAAGTGCAAAATCACTTCAGTTCTTGGCTGCCACCAAATGGAGACAACAAGTTAACTCAGCATGAGCTGCTTAAGATCACCCTTCCAAGCTCCTGGAGCAGCAGTTGGAATGCCCCCAGCAGCAGGAGTGTGACTGCCCACCTGAGTCCTCCTGAACTTTGGCCTTCAAGAGATACACGTGGAGTCTTCAACATTGCCCCTAATTTTGTGAGAGAAAGAAACAGAAATTATATCCTTTTAGTACAAATTATAGAGGCTTCATTTTACACATGTGGACACTGGGCTGTGCTAATTTGTAATGAGGCATAAGCTGATAGGTTGCAAAACAGCTAGAGTGAAATTAATTACACTACAAGCCCTAGAAGGTGAGAAGTACCAAAAAAGACAAGATGTGATTGGAGAAAGGAGACAAGAAGGATGAACTGACAAAGAAAAGGGAAAAGAATATAGGGAAATCAAGGCCATCTGTCCAGCTGAGGGTAGGGGATGGGGGTGGGAACCTGCTAGGGATGGAACTGGAGCCAGACGTGTATTCCTGCTGGCTCCAGTTCAATACGCAAGGACAGGGAAGCCAGCCTAGCTGTTTCAGGTGAGAATTCACCCCAGTGTGTGACAAGGAAACGTCAGGTGGGAGGCCTTCAGGCTCTGTCCTGCGGTTCCAGAAACTGAGCTATCTTCACTCATCAATAAGTAAGGAATCTGAGGAATCAATCCAGCCAAAACCCTCAAGAGATAAAAAGCCTGGCACCTGACAATTCACAGATTCATCAGTAGGGGGCAGCAGTGCCTAATGAAAACAAAATTCAGAGCCCAAACTCGCTCAGCAAGTGGAGAACCAGAGTTAATCTAAGCAATGGAGTTAGTTTATGAATTTTATTTTTTTATTTTTCTACATTTTAAGTAGTTACACAATGAGCACATATTACTGAAATGAGTAATAAAAAGTTTATTTTAAAAATAAAATATTCAGGCTCTGCGCCTATAGCTCAACAGGCTAAGGCTCCAGCCACGTACACCTAAGGTGGCGGGTTCGAATCCCCAGCCCAGACCCGCCAAACAACAATGACGGCTGCAACCCAAAAATAGCCGGGCATTGTGGCCGGCGCCTGTGGTCCCAGCTACTTGGGAGGCGGAGGCAGTAGACTCGCTTGAGCCCAGGAGTTGGAGGTTGCTGTGAGCTGTAATGCCACAGCACTCTACCCAGGGGGACAGCTTGAGGCTCTGTCTCAAAAAAAAAAAAAAAAATGAATAAATAAATAAATAAATAAAATATTCATTCTTAACTTTCTATCAAATGGTACAGAAAATCATACAGTGTGCATTTGCCATATGGCAAAATACTGTATCATGTAACACGGGTCCCCTTGATAGTATTCTTTCCATTTCCCCATGGGTTTGAAATTTTTCATAATAAAAACTTGGAGAATACTTAGAATATAAAATTTTTAAGCTTTGGAAAGAAAAAAAGATATTCACATACTTTAATTCAATTTCTACTTAAATAACAGAACCAATATCCTAGGTAACAATATCCTAACCCTCACTTCTCAGGAGCACTGATTAGTAAATGTTTAAATATTCTTATTCTCAAAATGTTTTGTTTAAACGTTTCTTTCTGGTTACATAAAATCTGACATTTCAGTGACAGAACACAGTATCCCGGAGTTCAGGTTACTATTGTTGGTTATCAAATTACCTCAGAAGTTAACAGATTAAAATAAACATTTCATCTGAGCCACTATTTGTGTTTCAGAAATTCAAGAAGGGCTTGGCTGGATGAATGTGGCTTGTACATGCCACACAGCTGCCATCACGTGTTGGCTGGTACAGCAGACACACAAAGGCTCCATGGGACTGGACAGCCAAGATTGTTTCCCACAGGGCCACAAACCATGCTGGCTGTTGGCCATTTCCCTGGCCTCCCCCAGCAAGGTCTTAGAGTAGCTAGACTTTTACATGAAAGCTCCACATAGCTCAGGGCCCCAAGTGTAAGCACTTCAGCAGATCAGACAGAAGTTGTATCCCATTGTGACCTTACCTGGAATTCATGCAGCCTCCCCTCTGCTGCTCGACTTCACTCAGGGCCGAGGCAGCTGTTCCCACAGTGGCTGCTCTGGTTGCCTTCCTCAGGGAAGACATGGAGGGCTCTTGGTAAGGCCTAATCACCTCTCACCTACCCTGGTCTTGAGGGGTTTCTCCCTTTTTCTTAATAGAAACTTTGAAAAGTAAGCAAACATTATTTCCAAGAGAGGCTTTGGAAAGATTTTGCCACATTACCATGCCTGAGATGGCTACGTCTCACCAACCATCTTCCTCTTCTTACCAATGTGCTGAGAGAAGTTTTAATTGAACACACAGCTGCTGAGCTGAGGCTCCACTTCACACTTCCCCTGAAAGTGAATGCAGTGTGCAGGAAGGGGACCTACAGTGTTGTGTCCTACAGAGAACAAGGCTTGCCCTTCCTTCCCTTTACACCTTCCTGGAGGCTAGAACCAGGGCCCCGTTTTGGCTATGATCTGGAAAGCACATGTTGAAGATGGCAGAAGACGATGAAAAGAACAATTCCCTGGTTCACCTGTCTTTTGTCAGTCAGCATTGCTGGGGCTGTGTGGCCTTTTAGAATTACAGTTATCATGTGTGAACTTGGGAAAGCCCAACCCCCTGGAGCATAGTAGGACAGGTTTCTCACACAACCTGCTAGAGTTAGGGGTCCTTAGAAAGTCTGATCTGTGCCTCTCCAGGTCAGGGCTCCCATTGCACTCCCTGGAATCTCCCCCCATCCTGCCCTCTCCACATCCTCCCTACCATCATCTTACACTTGGTCCTCCAGGCCCAGTGTGGGGTACAGCTCCCTACAGTTGCCCAAACAATCACTTCCTCCTTCAGTAGCAACAGAAATCTTGATTCAGATGAAAAATCACTTTCTCCAGCTTCTTTTGAGGACAGTTGGGCCTGTGATCAGCCCTGGTCAGGCTGTGATCAGGAGCCCCATGGACTTCAAGGAAAGGAACCAGCTGGCATCTACCTTTTCCACTTCTTCCTACCTAAAGTGTGATAACTAGAGCTCCCGCAAGCGAAGAGAGTGAGACTGAGACAAGAAGGTGTCAGGGGCCTAAGGTGTTGGGAACCGCCAGACCAGCCCTACACCACCTACTCTCATTCCCATCAGGCACCAGGATCCAGGCTTCTGCTACCTGCAGCCGAACCTAACTCTGGTGCACTGTCTTTCAGATTGAGTATGAAGAGCCAGACTTCCAGTTAGCCAAGGGAAGTGGTAAGGGAAGTGCAACAGCCTCATTGCCGGGGTTCCTCTCTAGCAACCTCTGGACTACCCCATTCTGCACCTCTGGACATTTGTGCAGGAGCCATACCTGTGGGGAGCCCAAGGAGAAGAAAGCAATAGACAGGGACTCTGCTCACATTGCTCCCACACTGACCTTCACAACCACCCCAGCAGGAGGCTCTGTCAGCCCCACTTCACAGGGACTCTGGCGGGACCAATGAGTGGTCTGAATTAGACTTGCAGGCAGTAGGCCCAGGTCAGGGGTCAGCTCAGCCCCCTCACACTGACTTCAGCCTTCAGGATGGTCTCGCTACCTTGGAACAGGGGGGATGTGGCCCCTGAACTTCCCCCAAGTATAAACTCCCTGTAACTTGACTGGGGCTAGAAGGTGGGTGGGTGGGAGAACAGATGGAAGTTCACGGACCCTTCTAATGGCAAACCACTGACCCTTATCTACAGAGACCCCATCAGGAAGTCTGAAATCCCACTTTTGTTAAAGATATTTAAGAAGTGGGCAAGCTTATATATTATATAAATTTATCTAAGTGCTATAAATTTATATGGGCTAAACAAATATTTAAATAACTGTATGGGTTTTATTGGTAAATATTGTATCTATTTATGCATTTTGGGAGGAAGACGTATAGTAGGATACACAGCCAAGGTGTAACACACAAGGGAGGATGTGAAGTATGGATAATGTGCTTCTGTTTCCTAAACTGAACATGTAATAGGAAAAAAACAGTAAATTATACATTTTAAAAAGAGTGCTTTGTGTCTAAGACTCTAAATGTCCCCTAAAGCCTCCCTCCTGGCTTGCCCTGACCAGCTGGGCTTTGCCTCAGTTCCCCCTACAGCCCAAACCTGACAGGGCCAGGAACTCCAGACATATGTCTACACTGGGGACAACTGATCCACAAATGAGATCCCACCAGAGTGACTCAGGAAGGCCAAGAGATCGTGGAGGGAAGGCTGGAGGGAAGGCAGCATGGCTGTCCAAGCCCTCAGGACCATGAGAGAGCACAAACCTGAGTGAGAATGGCAGGAGGCTGGGGCAGAGGGGCAGCAGTAGGAACATGAGGGCAGAAGTCCATCTCTTTGGAATTATCTTTAAATCTCCAAACTTGGTTAGCCAACTTCTACAGCATTTAATGACATGGTGCTTTTCCCTTTGGCATCTGCCTTGCTTTGTTATCCACAGGGGCAACAGGCTTCTGAGGCAGCAACTGTGCACACATGACAACCACCTGAGGATACCCTGCCCAGGGAAACACCAAGGGACCCTGAATGCACTCCTCAGTTCAGGAGCCCTAGGAACCAGGCTATCTGCACTTCCGGCCTCCATAGGCCTCAGGCTCCAGGCCCCACTGCTCCCCTTCTTCTTCTTCTTCCATCTCTCCCAGACAGGAGCTCCCCACACCCACTCAGTCCACCCACTACCCCTGGCAGCAGACCTGAGGCTGGGGAAGGGCCTCAGAGGAAGGCGGCATGGCTCTCTCCCAACCCCAGCTCTGCCCCACCATCTGTGTGACCGTGGCAAGTTAACCTCTATGGGCCTGCTTCCTTGCCAATAAGGCAGCAGCACAACAGTACCTACCACCAGAATTGCGCTGAGGGCTAAATAAGTATCAATCACAGAGCACTCAGAACAATGCATGTGGTAGGCAACGCTGACCTAAATCAAGAGTTTACATAAACTAAGAGTGTGGCTGCCAGACTCTGCTAAGAACATGGAATCTGGCAGCCAAACTCCTGCCTTCCTGGGCATCATGTGGTTCCGCTTGTATCCCTATCTACAAACTACAGAAAATGATCATCTCCCTTATTTAACCAAAAAATAAAGTTAAATAATCCATCTAAAAGCAAGGAAAAGCAAAAGTAACTCCACACACAAGGTTAAAATCAAATGGATGTCTAACACTAGTTCCCTTATTCCAACCTGTACCCCTGAGCCCAGAGGGAGGCTGGAGCCAGCCTCTAGTAGCATGCAGCCACCCCCTTGACACAGCTTGCCCAGACCTCTGCCACCAACTGGCATGAAGCTCTCAAGAGGTTTCTATTAACAAAGTCACTTAGCCCAGTGGGGCTAAATCAAATTGGTGGATCATAGTCCTTTTTGTAAACAAAAAATGCATTAGAAGAGAACAGAAACTCTGAGGATGTGTTTGTTGCACGTGATATGAGTAAACATTTCAGGCCACATCTGGTGTATATTCAAGGTCCTAGTGTAAAAGGCACTCTCACTGGGGTCACAGTCGGGAGTCTAAGAGCTGCTGCAGAGCCTGCCTGGTATCAGGGCACTCCCTGGGGCTCCCTGGCAGGTTGCAGAAGTGGCCAGTAAATGCTGCCTGTGCCAGCAGAGGGCACCAGCACAAAGCACCCACTCAGAGATGCTCTGGGTCTCCCCAGTGCAAGGCTCAGTATCTGGAGGCAGGAACCATGAATCAGAGTCACCAGCTAGCCTGCTGAGGGCCACTGCCTGATTCCAAAGAGCATGGCAGGAGGACAGGCTGGGGCCTGGCCTTCCTTGCACCTCACCCTTCCTCAGCTCTCCCTGGGCTTCCCTTCCTGTCACTTGCTTTCCTTCCTCTCAGCCAACAGCCCCATCTCTTAGTCCTCCCTGCTTTTCGTGTCTTCCCCTACCTTTCACCTTTTTCCAGGACACTCACACAAATGTTTTTCAGACAATTCAACCTTTATTTTAGAAAATAATTCCGTAGCTTCCACTAATTTTTCTCCATTAAACTCAGCTCAGGCAACCAACCAAAACACCCAATTCATCTCCAACCTGCTATGTGCACCCTGGCCCATGGAGACTCAAGGATGCCTGGGGCAAGGCCAGAGCCTTCCAGGTCTTGGCTGCTCTTCCTTAATGAGAGGCCACAAGAGCCATAGCCCTCAGGGAATAGCCCACACAAAGCTAATGCTATCTTCCACTAAGCCAGCATGGAATCCTCCTAAAGCAGCAAGGGGACAACTGATTTTCAGAAAGGAGAAGGGCAGAGGACAATGCCTCTCTAAGCAAGGTGAGGGAGGACTTGTCCCGGACTGAGGCCTTCCTTCTATACCACCTCTAACCCAACAGTTGGATGCGATCTAAGGAGAGGTCTCCTCAACATTCCATCTTAGATGGCAACCTGCTAGACTTCAGGGAAAGAAAGGCTAGACAGACGCCAAGGATAAGGAGACAACTCCACCCTCGACCTGGGGAGGAAGCCCCTTTGGTTACTCTCATTTTGGCCACACATATGCCCCCTTCTGGCATGACCCAGGGCCCCCACAGGAGGAAAGGGAAAGGGGGCAGGTAGGGGGAGAAGGTTCACCACGTGGCTGCAAGGGCCAGTCAGGGAGAGGGGCCTACTGAATAGAGCTGAAGTTGCCAACTTCTCTACAGATGCCCCAGGAGAAAGCTCAGGATGTGGTCATGTCTGGTCCCAACAAGCTGTGTCCCCTACCACACAGTGGTTTCTTAATACCCTCCAACAGATTACAGAATGGTTCCCCTGATCTGACTCCCTTGAGAACAAGAGAATAACCCTCGCCTATCATCTGTGCACTCAAACTAAAAAGATAAACAGGACCAAGAGGGAAACACAGACAGGACAATGCAGCCTAAGGACTGTGGTCCCATCTCAGCTCATCATATGGCAAGGAAGGGCCCAGGAGGAACAGTCAGATGCTGCTAATTCCAGCTGGGATCATAGCCATCCCAGGTCTGTGGTGGCGCCAGGTGGACACGGCGACCCCGAAACTGGAAGGTGACGATGCCCCGGTAGCCAGCCCTGGGAACCCCCGACTTGAGGTCATCCATGACACCCAGGGCCTTGGCAAAAGCCTTGAAGCTGTCCCGGCCTGTGTACTGCACCCGCACCTCCCCGAGCTCCTTGCGATCATTGGCCCTCACTTTCTCCACCTGCAGCTGCGGAGCACCATAGACACGGGCAAGGAAATCCCGGTCATAGGCCTCTCGCCACAGGTACGACAGGTCCAGCTGGGTGAAGTGCACGAACTGCTGGTTCAGCTTGATGAACTTGAGGTGCTGGTCAAAGAACTGCCCATGGCTCACACCCTTGCGGCCAAAGGTCATCGTTCTTGAGATTTCAGGGCGTATACAGGCTCGCCCTTTGCGCTGCTCTGGCCGGCGCATCCAGTCATCCCAGAAGGCCTTGGGCCACTTGGGCTCCAATTCAGCCCAGAGCTCAGCCAACAGCAGCCAGCCCAGGCCAGGGAAAAAGTCTGTGCGGTAGAGCAGCTCAGGCTTGTTCAAGTCTACCATCTGCTCCTTGCCATTGTCATTCCAGGCAGACACACACCAGAGGGAGGGGTCAGCCCTCAGCAGTGGGTAAGTGGCCTGGAAATATTCAAAGAAATCCGGTGCCACCTCCAGATCATCCTCTACCACCACAGCTGCTGGGAACTTGAATTTGTGGAAAATCTGGCCCAGCGCCCAGCGGTAGTGCCGGGCGATCTTATAGTAGCCCTGGAACTTGCGGTGGTCAGGTGGTACAGCAATGTTGCTCAGGTCGGGCTGCTGGATGTGTGTGACCGTGCTGCCATAGGAGGCAATGACCTGGGCTGTCTCCTGGTGCCCACAGTCCTGGCTGACGATGATGGGGAAGTGCTCAGCCGAGGGCCGATACTGCAGCAGCTTGTCCAGGCAGCGCCGGACAGTGCTGCGGTCACAGGCGATGACCAGGATAGGGATCACTGACGGCAGTGGGGTCACAGGCACATGTGGCTGGGCGGGAGGGGCTGCAGTGGGCACCCTCCAGCGCTGACTCCATACAGCATGGTGCTCCTTGATCTGCTGCAGCAGCCACCGCTGGCGCTCCAGCTCCACCTCAGCATCTTCAGCCAGGCGAATTACCTCTCGGGTGAGGCTGGCAGGGTCATCATCAAGAGCACTGTCCGAGGGTGGCCTGCCAGGTGCTGGACGTGTCCAGAAGAAAAGGAGCAACAGGGCATTCCAGGCCACGAAGAGGATCGCGCCCCATAGCACAAGCCCTGCAGACTGCTTCTTCAGCATCCTGGCCCCCACAGGGGAGCACAGGCAAGGGGACAGCTTGAGGCAGCCTTTGGCTTTGCCTGGCTCACTCACCCAGTCCTAGGGAAGCTTCCTCTGGGCTAGAAAATTAGGAAGCAGCCATGCACCTAAAGAGGAGAGACAGAAAACCGACCATCACCACAGAGGCATGTGGCTCCATATCCTCACAAGGTAAGGGATGTGGGGGAATGCAGCAACAGGTAAAAAAGAAGGGAGGATAAAGGCCAGGAGGTTGACTCCAGAGCTCTTTCAGGAAGAGTTCCCACTCCCCTAAACTAGGCAGTCAACCTGCATGGCATAGTAGCATTACGACACTATGCTCCACCTCTCCAAAGTGAGACGAGTCCCCAGAAAAGCAACAAGTGTTGGAGGCGATGGTGTTGGTCAAAGGGAGGGAGCAAAAGAACCACAATTCTTCCCGCTCTGGCAGATTTCATTTCCCATCTTCTACCCCAAGTTTAGGGGGAGGAGTAAGGGGTGGGAATCCTTCCCATTCCTCAAGTCAAACTGTCCCAGGATCACTGACTTTAAGAATCAAATATCATACCTCAGGGCTAATGCTAGCCCCTCAGTAAGAAGGCACCAGAAGCCTCCCACAAATGTTAAGAACAAGCCAAACTGCCCATGATCTCCAGACTACTTAATATTCTGTTGGATGCATCAGCCAATGCAACTGTACCACAAAAAAACAATTAAAAACAGAAATGGAAAAGAAGCAAGTATCTCCATTTGTTGATGCTTTGAGAATATGCCTGGAAAACTCTGAGAGAACCAATGATAGAACTAAACCAAAGAATACAAAAATCAACATACAAAGATCAACAGCCTTCACATTCACAAATAACAACTCATTAGAAAAAATAATGGATGAGAAAAACCTATTTACAAAAGCCATGAAATATCTGAAAATAAACTTAACAAAGAATAGTCAAAATTTCTATGAACAAAATTCGAATTCCCAAAAGACACAAAAGAACTCTTAAACATCCCTTGTTCTTGGTTAGGACATTTCAGCATTATCAAAAAATCCCAGTACAAATACTTTTCGTATGAAACTAGACAAAATGACACTGAAGTTTACATGAAAAATTAAACATACAAGAATTTTAGGGAAATAATGAAAATGAGCTGTGAAGAGGGAGTAGCCCTAGTAGCTATTAAAATACATACCACAAAGTCTCTATACTTAAAACTGTATGGTACTGATACACAGACATACCATCACATGGAACAGAATTTAAACTCCATAAATAAATTCCCTACAGGCAGAAATCTAGTGTAAGATAAAAATGGTGTTTCAAATTACTAAGGCAAAGACACTCTCACTAATAATTACAGTAATTATATAGCTACACTATGGTTTGTACCCTCTGAAACTCATGTTGAAATTTGATCCCCAATGTGACATGGCAGTGTTGGGTGGTGGGGCCTAGCAGGTGTTGGGGTCACAGAGTGGATCCCTCCTGTATAGATGAATGCCCTCTTACAGGAGTTATAATAGTTCTCAAGAGACAGCAGCCCAGTGTCTTCAGCATGACTCTTCACATGTACACACTGTCCTTTCCTCTTTCTGCCTTGAGTTGAACGAACAAGATTCCCTTACTAGATGGGGTACCTGATCTTGAACTTTCCAGGCACCAGAATCATTGGCCAAATAAACCTCTTTCTTTATAAATTACCCAGTCTCAGGTTTCTGTTACAGCAACACTAAATGGTCTAACAAAACCTATTTAGAAAATATTAAAATTAGATTCATACTCAAGATAACTTCCTAGTGTTTTAATAAAGTTTTAAATAAAATTATAAAAATTCTAGGGAAAAATACAGGTGAATTCCTCTATAACCTGGGTGTAGAGCAAGGCTTTCTCAAAAATCCACTGATGCAATAAAAGACCAGACTTGATATATTTCACTACCTGAAACATTTTTACATAGATAAAAACACCATAAGTGGATAAAAGACCAAATGACAAACTTCAAGACATACAACACAAATAAACAGCCAAACCCTAAAAGACAAAGATCTTTCAAAAATGGAGGGGGCAGGGGGAGGAGATGAGGACAAAAATTCTATGGAAAATAGGCCAAAGATAAGGGTGACTCACAGAAATGTCCTTATATGAAAAAAATGTTCAACTTCACTCACAGTAAGAAAAATGCAAATTAAAGCTATCCTAAGATACTACTTCTCACTCATCAAACTGACAAAAACTTGTCCTTTTATTCTCTTAGGGTCAACTGAAGAACAGAAGTTCTTAATTTTTCAAACTATTTACAAAATATTTCCCTGAATGTTGACATATAAATATAAAAACTACATAAACTATAATATTAGTTTGTTAATTGTTCCTATTTACAGTGACCTTTGGAACACTCCTAGAGAGACTTCTCCAGCCCCTTCCGGCATCCAGTACCACTTGCTTTCCTCCTAGAAACCAACCACCCCCACAACTCCAGAACAGTCTTCTTAGAAACCTCAAGTATATTTCCATTTAACTGTAATTAAATTTCTATTTTATCAGGGCTCATATATCAGAGTTTCCTAGAAGAAGAGAATGATACACAGACTATTTCCAGTTTCTTCAATCTCCCCTAGGTTGTAGTCAATGTCAGAACTTTCTCTCCAATTTCATGGCCAGGCTTCCCTTTCAACTTCCTGCCTCCTGGGCAGGGAAAAGTCTTTAGGTAACCAAGGATGAGGGGGAAGAGATGCTGAAAAGACAGGGGTGTCCATCCTTTTTTTCTTTGCTGCAAATTGGAAGAGTAAGAGTTGTCTTGGTCCACACATTAAATACACCAACACTAACAGTAACCCATAAGCAAAACTTAAGGTCCGTAGTTTTTGTGATATCCAACACCACAGATAAGCAAAACAGCCCTCAAAAAACAAACAAAAAAAAACCCAGAATGCAGCTTCCCGGGGCCACAGGTTGTGACCCCTTCAAACTCCATTAGCTGAGGTGCTGCCTTTGAGGCCAGCAGATTAGCCAATCCTGACTTCTCAGACCAGCAAGCTCAATGGTAAAACTCCAAGGGAACCACATCTTCTCTACCCTTCACAGGACTTCTGTACCCTTCAGGTTAACTTTTTACTTTTCTCTGGACATAGAAATTAGATGGCCCACTCAAACGACCAGAGGCCTATTTACTAGAACTCTGTCCCACCCTGCAAAGCCACAAAGATCTAAGCAATCTTCTGAGCACCAAGCTGCTGTGCAAGGACCTCCTCAACATCCAGGAGATCTGCGAATGACCTAAACAGTGGCTTCTATGTTGATGCCACACACACCCACAGGCCCTGAACTGCAACTCCCAACTCAAAAAAGCGCTGAAAAGCAGAAGTTTTCTAAACTCATTTGGCAGTAAAACCTCACTCAACCTTACTTGCTGAAATCTGATCTGATCTAACATAAGGCTATTTATAGTCTTTATTTCTCTCTCCTGGAGTGACTATTCATACATTCTACTACAGAAATAAACATGGTAGTTTATGGTATGCTGTTCTAGATCTGACCCCACAGAGTATGTGCCAGTTCATTTTTTCAAAATCCTAAATATTCCAAATTGTGAAACATATCACCCTGAAGAACATCAAAATTATGAAAATGGAAGAGACAAAGTTAGTCATTCACTGCCAGCAACCCATTTCAAGTCCTCCAACCCTTTAACCCAAACACTTTCCTTATTATTAACTACTGTATAAACCTGAACTCTTGCTGTAGTTTCCATGCTGGTCTACCTGTCACTAATCTTGCTCCTCCTAACAAACCTTCAACAGCAACAGAGCATCCTTCCTAAAATGCATGCCTTGTCACGTATTATAACATGCCTTAAAAACCAGTAAAGGCTGCCATTGCCCATAGAATAAAACTCTAAGCTCGTTATTATGACACTCACGGGCCTTCCTAAGAAACTGGCTCAGACATCCTTTTTCAACCTCTCCTTCAATCTCAGGAGGCTATTAATTTCCCCAGTAAATGCACCTACATAGTTGTCTCTCTGCTCTAGTCAGTCCCTCATCTTGCAGTATTACTCACAGCCCCACCTGTCAGCCACCCCCACATCCTTTATGGCCCAGTTCAGGCAATTCCTTCCATAACATCCTAGACACAGCCACGCTGCCAATGACTATCCCCCGCCACAGCACTCTTTCCACACCATAACCAAATTCAGATATACCTTACCCAGCTTTGGCCCTACTTCTTAGGAAAATAGCTCCATGACCTCTGTGCTCACCACAGTGCTTGGCACATGTATGAAGTTCAAGTGGCTAGACAGAAGACTACTTGCATTATTAACTCATCAGGGAAAAAGTCAAACCAGTAGCAAGAGAATGACATTTTCCAAAGACGACCACCACATATCCCATCTCATACGCTCTTCTTACAAAGTGACAATGATACTCCTCTTTCCAGAGGTAAAGGTCCAGCTTCCCTCCCTTCCTTTGATTTTGTGAAAAAGTGGTGCTATGTGACTTGTGAGCGTAGTTCATAACAAGCCAACAGTTTCCACCTGGAGCTTTTAAGATGCTTGTTCCTGGAACTCTGCCACATGGATAGGACACCTACAGGTATCCCAGTTGACAATCCCAGCTAAGGTCCTAGTTGACAGCCAGCCTCACCACTAGGCATGGGAGGAAGCCATCCAGATGATCCAGCAACTGCTACATCCGACTGCAACCTACCTGAAAGACAAGCAAGAACCACACAGCTGAGATAGTAGTGATTCTGTTATAAGATATAGATAGATATTCTAAGATCTGTTATAAGATCTGTTATAAGATAGATAGTGATTCTGTTATAAGCCACTAAATTTGGCGGTGATTCATTATGTAGCAATAAGTATCTGAAACAGTGAGTTTTTACTCAGAATCTAGCAGGGCAAGTGCTACTTCCTGTCCTCTGTGCAGGAGCCCCCAAATTCAAATGCTGAGGACCTGTCTCTTCTCACGTTCCCTTCCTTATTAGGTATCTAATGCTGAATAATACATTATTCCAAAACTTAGGACGATAGCAATTATTTAATCCCTCTTACAGTTTGTGAGTCAGAAATCAGGACAGGGGGTGTAAAGGGGATAACCTATTTCTGCTCTACCATGTTTTGGACTTTGGCTGGATAACTCAAAAGCTGAGAGCCAGGGTCTCCTCTAGGCTCATTCTCTCACATGCCTGCAGGCTCATGCTGGCCTCAGCAGAGACACTAACTGCAGTGCTGGCTACAACACCCACACGAGGGCCCTTCACATGGGTATGGCCCAGGCTTCCTCTGAACATGATGGCTGCATTCCAAAGATAAGAGTCCCAAGAAAGAGGGCAAATCAGATGAAGCTGTATCCTTTTCCTGGCCCAGCCTTGGATCACTTCTGTCCTACTAGTCAAGGAAATCACAAATCCCTACATATAATCAAGGGGAAAGAACCACACAGCCACCACCAGGTGGGAGGACAATGTCAAACTGTAGGAATATTTATGAGTAAGGCCATTTGGGGAAAGTCCAATCTGTCACACCTTCCTTTTATTTTTTTTTTTTTTTTGAGACA